ACCAGGCATCCTCCTTTTCCAGGACATGTCCTATATTTCAACCTTCTAGCCAGGAGAGTTTCAGCCCAAAGTTGGAGGTTCCTCTGATGTAAGGTGTGACCAGGCATCCATCCTCTTTTTCCAGGACATGTCCCACATTTTAACCTTCTGTCCAAGAGGAATTTCAGAACATCCTCCATTTCGAGCAGGACTAAGAAGCCTGCATTTATATTGATATGAGTGTTTCGAGCTTTTATTTGGTCATGTCCTACATTTTTCTTGAATGTCTTACATTTTGCGGTGCCTTGTCCTCCTTTGCAGTTAGGGCATCTGGTCACCCTGCTCTGATGGGCAGCACTAACATGGGAAAAGGAAGGAACAGGGTATCTGAAGAGACCAAAATCGTGTCCAAGAGCCTCTTCAGAGGAGATGGATCAAGTTCACTTTCCGATAGAAATTGGGAAGTTCACTTGGAGTCAGTTCGCTTTCCCACAGAAAAGCAGAAGTAGGAAAGGCATTTATGGAGTCTTCTTCCCCTACTCCTATGTAGTATATTGTGCGGGAAGAGTGTAGCTCTACAGGTATTGTTCAACTTTCATTCTCCGCACCTCCTCCCATATATTCCCATGATGCAGGATGATGGGAGTTGCTGCCCAACATCATTTGGAGGGCCACAGATTGTTCACCCATGCATTCTTTCACTCTTTAGGTAAGTAGTAACCCTTGCTTGTGACTTACACTAAATATATCAGCACAAAATAATTATTTAAGTCAACCAGTAACTCGATGAGGTCTGGAACCATACCAGACCTTTGGAAAATGGGTTTGACTGTAGAGATCTGTAATGAGGATGTGTGTTGATATTGAATGAATTTTACATGGGTGTGATTTTTATTTTATTTTATTTTATTTTATTATTTTATTTTATTTTGGTATTTTAATTGCTGTTTGCTGTCCTAAGTGGTGTGTGAACAGACATTTATGTTTTGGGGTAAATATACACTTACATTTTTATTGTGTGCTTATTGGTGGGGTTTTTTAAAACAAAAATCTTCAGTGCCAAGCATCTAGGAGCAATCTTCCTAGGACTATGATCTGGGAGGAAACCCACTGGGTGACCCTGAGCAAGTCACATTCTCTCAGCCTCAAAAACTGGCAACGAAAAACCCCCTCTGAACAAAACATGCCAAGAAAAACCCATGTGAAGTTCTCCTTAGGGTTGCCATAAGCTGAAATGACCTGAAGACATACAACAACAAATGGCCTGGGAGAGGGATTGGCTGATGTCCCTGCCTCCCAACACATATATCTTACACCTGTGTACGCCTTTTCTTGTGGTAGTGGTAGTGGTGGTGGTGGAGGATAATATTCCTTTCCACCTGCCACAATGACCAAATTCATTATCCACATACTGACTGTTGAGCTGCTACAGCTCCCTTCCACCAGAAGGGAATGATTATGGAGATTATCGTGATAATCTCCTATATCATCCTCTGAGACATCCAAAGGACTTTGTGGGTCTCACTGGATGGTGCATTTGGCCATAGAGACATACTGAGGCCTCATTCCCACTTACAAATAAATCAGTTTGCGATCCAAATCGATGGATCGGTTTGGTAGCAGAGCGTGGTTCACACTATCATTTACCCCAATCACATTTTCTAGCTGTAAAATAACCCATTTGTCATTCCCATTGACTAAATTTAATTGATTCAAGTGGCCAGCAAATTTAAAGGGCAAATTTAAATCGATTCCGATCTGCATTTGGTTCACACTTGCGCGGAATCGATTTATTGAAAAAGACGTGGGGAAAACCAGCATCAAAAAGACGTGCATTAAACGGGTCTAGTGCATGCCTCCCTCCTCTCCAAACCATTTCAGAGATTCGGTTCAAGTGCGAACCAGGTTCATTTAAACTGCTTCAAACCGGTTTGCAAACCGGTTTAAAATGTAGTGGGAATGAGACCTGAGTTTGCCACACTAGCCTCTTATAGTGCGGCTATTTGACTTTGACTTCTCTGGCTGCCCTTTGTGGCCTTCTGGGGTTTGCAGTTTAGGGAAAGGCATTTAGAATCCTCAGCCAGAGAGCTCTTACGCCTCACTGAACTACAAACCCCAGAATGCCACGGGAGGCAGTCTGAGTAGTGAAAGTGGAATAGCAGCACTATAGCAGTGTAGTGCAGTAATCTACATAGTGAGACCCTTCTACAACCCCCCTCTGCTCTCCACCAGCCATGGAATGACCATGGGGGGGGCTACATGGGCTCAACAGTAATTCCAGAGGGGTCTTGAATGGCCAGCCATGGTGCATTTCCCCATGCAGAACTGCAGTGGCATACAAAGGGCAGGGTGAATCATAGGATCATAGCACTGGAAGGGACCTCAAGGGCCATCCAATCCGATCCCCTTCTGCCATGCAGGAACACACAGTCAAAGCCCTCCCTGAGAGAGATGGCCATCCAGCCTCTGTTTAAAAACAGCCTCCAAAGAAAGAGACTCCACCACACTCTGAGGGAGCGTCTTCCACTGTCAAACAGCTCTTACTGTCAGGAAGTTCATCCTAATGTTGAGGTCAAATCTCTTACCCTGTAATTTGAATCCATTGCTCCATGTCCTAGTTTCTGGAGCAGCAGAAAACAAGCTTGCTCCATCCACAAGATGATATCCCTTCAAGTATTTTAAGAGAGCTATGATATCACCTCTTAATCTTCTCTTCTCCAGACTAAACATACCCAGATTCCTAAGTTGCTCTTCATGGGGCTTTATGGTCAGCCTGGCTCAGTCTGAGATCTTGAGAGGATTTAGAGACAGATTATACAATGATAGAGTTGGAAGAGACCCTAAGGGCCATCTGATCTAACTCCCTTCTGCCATGCAGGAAGACACAGTCAAAGCACTCCTTGTGACAGATGGCCATCCAGCCTTTAAAACTTCCAAAGAAGGAGACTCTTCCATGCTCCAAGGAAGCATCTTCCACTGTCGAACAGCTCTTACTGTCAGGAAGTTCTTCCTAAGGTTGAGGTGGAATCTCTTTTCCTGCA